CCCGAAAAGCATCCAAGCAGACTCGTTGCATTAATAGCGCTGGGCCACACTCCTCCGATGTTGGATGTACAATACAAGGTGCTATACGTACCGAAGAGCAGAAGTTTTCTGCTTGTGGACGGCTTTTTCTTTGTTGGTGCACCGCGGAGGACGATGGTTGCGGTGCAGGTGAGACGACGAGGGCTGAGCATGGCACCAAAGCCAGCACGGTGGTGCAGTTCAACAATCTTTCACGGAGTTATTTTAATGACTGGGAAACGTTTGCGGAAGGCTTGTCGTGGGGGATTATTTACGTGCAGCATGAGGGCAGTACGGCAATAAACGCATGGCAGCAATGTGTTGTTGTCGCGCACGCAAATGCAACGGGCAGCAATGAGCGTGAGGACCCTCAGGCCATTGCGGCATTTTGAAATCAGTAGGTGCGTCAGTGCGAGGTAGCGGTATCATATGAAAATTTCAGAAGTGAACGACAAACTCAACGTGGATGACACCCAGATGGGCAAAGGAAAAGGAGGAGGGGAATAAACAGCTTGAGTTTACTGGTGAAGTGTTTTAGGGAGTATGATATATTGCTGAGTGTGTTTGTGTATGGGTAGGAGGCGCACTTAGGGACTCGCTCTGCCGTGCGCCAAATGATTATTATGGCCAGCACTACCACAGCAGCACTTTTTTTTTCTGTTGTGGTTGTGTTGTGGTTGCGAGTAAAATTGTGTGGGGAATTATGGCGCCTTGTGGGTGTACGCCGGCAGTGTTCCATTGGTGATATCTCCTCGCTGTTCCCAGTTTGTTGCTGCAGAGAGTTTGGGCGAGAGGATAAGTTTTGCATGCTGAGTGGACTCACAGGCGGGAAAGCAAATGCGGCGGCCACCACAGCCCAGAGGTCGGGGACAAACCGAATTATTGTGATTGTTTTTGTGCGTTGGCGTGGTGTTTTTTTTTTGGGTGCCATCGTTTTTGGTTCGTCTGTGCTCCAATGGGGGGTGCCGCATGCACCGCTGGGAGCCTCGAGCAAACGCCGTTGGCGTCTCTCTTTTGTTGGTTTGCCGTCCTGGGCATGCATGTGCCTGTTCCGTCTTGGTCGGGCTGCACGCACTGATCGGGCAGTCTGAGACTACGGCTGCGCTGGCGTCGTCCCCGCTTGCAAGCGGAGCGAGGCAGCAAGAAAGGGGGCTGCCGCTCTTATTTCGCAGGGTTTATTTTTAATGGTTTGTATTGTTTTTTTTTTTAATATTACGCCCCACTCCTGCTGCAGTGCGCTGAGGGAAGTGGAGGTGGCGTTGGGACAGCTTGTGGGGACCGTGATGGGAGGTCCTGCCCGGCATGCGCACTGCGTGTTGCCGCTGGCGTGGTTTGAAGGGGCTGAGCGTGGGAGACGGTAAGCGACGTGCTTATGAATTAGTTTTGTTTTTTGATTTATGCGGGTGCGTCACAAACTGCGGATGCTCCGTGTGGGTGTTTCTTGTGGGCGGGGGCGAGTGTGTGATCGTGCGGCCCACGCGTTTATTTGTGCGGCCTTTGTTATGGATTGTCACTGTTCTTTGCTCGATGCCCAGCTGTGGGCGCGGGCGGTGCCTATCCTTTTTTTTTTTGTGGTTTCACCTCTCTTTTTTTTTTGTCCTCAACACACGAAGAAAAGAGACCAAACGCTACTCGCTGCTGTGCACATTGAAAAGCTCTACAGTCACCACCATCACGCACACACTTTCACACACAGCCGTTGCGGCCTGAGCGGATCCACCGCACAGAGGGAAGTGAGTGTGAGAGAGCAGCGACACATGCCCACGATGTCCTGGCATTTTTTTTCTTATTCAGTGCTTCTGCTGCTGTTTGTACTCTTGACATGCTGTGGCAGTGAAGCTGCGGGGAGTATGCCATGGATGGACCTTAAATCATTTACAGGGACGACACCGATAACTGGTGCCAAGTGGGAGGAAATGCAATGCGTCGAAGGGTCAGTTCGCTCGCTGCGTGTCCCCAGCCTTGTGGAGGTGGACGGTGCTGTGTTTGCCGTTGCTGAGGCCCAGTGCAAGAATGGAGTTGACAGCTTCACTGGCATCTTGTCGCAACACCTCAAGGGAATTGGAACAGAACCGACTGAGATTCCGATGGGTGCGGGCACAGGTTCCTTTCACCCGCAGCTGCTGAAGGAAGGTGGTAACGAAATGAGGGATACAGTGCGACCAACGACAATTGTGAGTGGCAACAATGTCTATATGCTGCTGGGAAGCTGCAACCGTGCAACACCGAAGAGCAAAGAGGCTGATCGAAGTGGATGTAAGATTGTGCTGGTGAAGGGGATTGTCACTGAGGCTGGAGAGAAGAAAGTCCAGTGGAACGAGACCTATGCGGTGGAGTTTGAGCTCGGACGCTATTTTGCTGGATTCTTGACTCATTTTTCTGCTGTCGGAGGGTCGGGTACTGTGGAGAGTCACGGCAGACTTGTGTTTCCCGTGCAGGCCACAAGGAATGATGGAAAGAACGTTTTGATGGTCGTGCACTTCACCCCATCAGAGAATAAATGGGAGCCTGTAGTCGATACGGTGGGTGAGGGTTGCAGCGATCCATCGATTGTGGAGTGGGGCGAAGTCTATGACCGAAGCATCTTCATGATGGCTCCCTGCACGGATGGCTCCTATCATGTGTACAGGACTCTTAGATATTTGGACTATTGGTCTAGCGGTGAACCAATTTCTCAAGTGTGGGGCAATTCACGTGATAGAAAAGGGGAGGGCGCGCGAAGTGGACTCATCACTGCAACCATCGATGGAAAGAAGGTGATGCTGCTCACCACGCCAGTGTATTCTGAGGAGAAGGGAGAGGGTCGGCTGCATCTTTGGATGACAGACAATGCCCGTGTGCACGACGTTGGGCCGGTATCTCGCGAAGGTGATGATGCCGCCGCCAGCTCCTTGCTGTACAGAGCCGACAAGAAGGAGTTGATTTTACTGTACGAGAAGAAGAGCGGAGATTCATACAGTCTTGTCGCCGTGAGCCTGACTGAGCAGCTGGAGCGGATAAAGAGCGTGGTGAAAGCCTGGAAAGATATGGACACCGCACTCAACAACTGCCTTTCCACTGGCACTGTTGACCCGCGGATAAAGAATGTGTGCAAAGGTCCTGTTCCCACGGAAGGGCTGGTTGGCTTTTGGTCCAACAGTTTGGAGGGGAATTTATGGAAGGACGAATACCTCGGAGTGAACGCAATGGTGCATGG